CTCAATATACAATGTAATCAGGGGATGGGGCATGAAGTACACCACAAATGATTTTACACCTGAGAAAATTTATGAAGCTGTATATTCAAAGACATTTTAAAAATTATGGGGCTGGCAACATAGCTCAGTGGACTAAGCACCTGCTTAGGCAAGTGCAAGGACCACGGTCTGATCCCCAGTATCTCATGCCATGCTAGCCCCATGCCTGGGTGTGCTGAGCTGGCCACCGAGACCAAGTATGGTGGTGCACACCTATAATCCCAGTGCTGGGGAGGCTGAAAACTGGAGGATCACTACAAGTCTGAGCTGCATAGTGAGGCCCTGTACCAAATATGTTAAAATAAACAAAAATTACAATGATTATTTTCACACAGAATAATTATTCACATGACAAAATATGCTCACAAAATCTGGGAAGAAAGGGAGTGAGGGAGGAAAAAAAAACACAAACATGCTTACTGTCCCTGCTGTATCCAGGATTTCCAGCATACACTGTTGGCAATCTACTTCAACTTGCTGTGAGGGTGAAAAGAAAAAAATGAAAAAAGGAAAATCAAACTGTCGTTTTATTTCTCTTACACCTCTTTATCCAAAGTAACTATTAACAACTGCAAAGTATTTTTCTAGCAGCCTGCTGTGTTAGCTGGGATAAACAAGATAAAGAACAGGGGTCTTCAAGCACGTTCTATTAATAGTATAGAAGCCAGGACAGTTGATATTGAGTACAGATATTTTCTGGCCACTGTAATGATGCTTACTTGTTCTCATTAGAAAGTGAATGATCATATATAGAAATTTTTTTAAAAACTGTAAACAGATGCAACAGTTTAAAAAAAAATTCACATGTCTATGTGTATCATATTCAGAGAAAAAGCACAAACATAGCCAGTGGCTGAAAATGCACATAAGAAGCTGGGCACAGGGACACCTGTAATCCCAGCTACTGAGAAAGCTGAGGCAGGAAGATGCCAAGTCTGAAAACAGCTTGGGCAATATCCTGTCTCAAAATAAAGGGCACGGGATGTAGCTCTATGGTAGAGTTTGCCTAACTTGCATGAGGTTACACAATCGATGCCCAATACCTCTTTCAAAAATTTTACATAAATGATTTGGGAATAAAGAAAATTCTACATTCAAGTTAGTAAAATTTTACTCAAATATTCACAAGCAATAAGGGGAGTACATATGTGTAAAATAACACTGAGCTTATATATTGAAGGACTCTATTTCAGAAAACTACACAGAGGGTGGAATTTTATACGCTGCATTCCATTGGCCCACTGTCTTAAAAAGAAGGCTGGACTAAAGAAGTGTGAAGTATCAACTATATAGAAAATTTTTATTGAAGTAGGGATTAAGAAAAGTTAGTCCTTCAGTATTCTACATACAGATCCTATTTTGTAGTTAAAGATTTGACTAGCAACTTTTTCTGGGGAAGTTTAAGGAAAGCAACACTGTCCTCTAGAAGTAAATGTACTACGAGCCCACAGTCTGCTCTACTGTCTCTGTGTAGGTAGGCACTGATGCGGAGGCCCTCTCATGGCGCCAGACTCACTGGCCTTCCAATACACAAGGCAGGCAAGACCTGTAACCAGCAATGTTCAGTAAGTAATGAATCCTAGTTAAGAGTTTTGCAGAGTATATAGGGCACAATTTTGTTTTTAATTTGAGGGCAATTTCTTGATTAACTAAATTCAACAAAACTTAAAGGACTATTAAAGATAAATCCTAAAAGCATTTATTTATTTATTTATTTATTTATTTATTTAGGTACTGGGAATACAATTCACGACCTTGTGCTGCCAGGCAGGTACCATGCCACTGAGCTATATCTCCGGCCCCACAAAAGCATTTAACAAAGACATCCTTTCCTATTTGCTGTAAGAAAGGTTTAATATTGGGGGAAAGGGTATATCCTTGGCTACCAGTCTCTTAACAGCACTGTCTTTTTCCTTCTTAATATACTGGGAAAACAAAATGGTGAAAATTTTCACAATTCTAACTAGTCTTGTAATTATATTTAAATATATAATATATAT